TCTGAGGGAAGGGGGGCCAACGGATGTGATGTAGGAACAGCCATTGTAAAAATATTCCATGGAATTGGAGTTGCATATTTGATAACATCTTGAGACCATTTTAGTGTATATTTGTTACCATTGGTACTTGATTCACTTCGAAATCTAGATACTTTATTTTCTGATATTAATTCATTAAGTTCAGTTTCCGTATTACAAATTCGCAGTGGTAGCTAGTGTCTGCGCATCATTTTGTTTAGAATATGGTTCTTTTACTGTTTACATATCGATGAGTAAATATGAAGAAGCGTGCGTATGAGAAATTCTACTTTAGAACTCTACACATACAGTGAAAAATTATCTTTCAATGGCGTTTTCTTTTCAGTTTTCTGCAAAAAAATTCGAAAACCGTTCACTTTTCAGTCCCGTTCTCTAAACCGTGTAAAAATTTAATAATTCGCACTCCGTTCTCCATTCAGTCCAAACTCCGTTGTCTTTTCATACTTTTCCCCATATTCTCTGATAATTATTTAACAGCTATATACGTCTGTTAAGAGTAAAATAGATGATTTCTGAAGTTAAAGTATTTAGTTAGTCGTTAACAACAACTGTACGAAGATAACAATTTTTAGAAAGCATTGCCAAACACGTTTCTTACCTACTTATTTGAGGACCGACTAGCTATTTTGAGATGCACCAACAGGATTTTTTTCACATGTTCATGTAAAATGTGCAAAACTAGGAATTTACTGTAAACATTTCGTGTTGGAGTAAAAGATGCCTCAAAATATGGCAGTCATTACTCTTACAGTTTCGAGTAAGCTAGACTCGTTATCCTTGAATTTCTCAAGCAGTATACATTTCTACTTCTCAGATCACACATTTCAATTGTTCATTATATTTTATGTATAGCTAAACTATTATCAGCTATGTCAGACACAGTCTGTTTGAGTTGATCACCACTGGAATATTCGAAACAAGAGTATCAGAAAAAAGGATTTCATGAACAAATAAAGTATATTTAGCAAATTCTGAAAGTAGCGTACCTTCATAGACTGTTGTCTGATCATTTAATATAGGAACAAATTTCGATGGTTGAAGTTGATACAGTTGCGTTTCCTTCAAACGACATATATAGTCAACTTCTGATAATCATGATGGTCCATATAATATTTAGGTTCTAACCTGTTTTAATTCTTTTGTTTTGGCTTTTATAATTTGTTTTTTAATCTCTTTTTTCTTTCGTTTCTTATTCTTTATGGCTATAACTTGCTTTTTAAAAGAGAAAATAAAATTCTAAACGTAATCATAGCGTATAAGACTTTTCACCAAAAAATATTGTCAGTAAAATCACTAGTTAGTAATCTTTGACAACATTCTAAGTCTAATATTTGCTTACTTTATCTACAATTTCTTGTACTTCTTGAACTGTCATTTGCCGGAACAATGTCGTTGACCCGTTATCTTCTTCTGTTGGATAGACCGGGAATTGTCCATATAATTGTCTGTATAATAAAGAATACAGTTGTATAATAGCAGAACATACTTATCGATTTTCCCACCTTGATTCCAAGAGCCATTGTTGTAGAACATGTTCCATTCTTGATTTAATTTCTGTACCATCATATTGTCGAATTTTTTGTTTAATATACGCCGTTGCACCATCTAATTCTTCTGTATGGTGCAATTGTGTTTCACGTTTTTGTAACTGAAATTGTTTTTGGAGATTCAATGAACCTTCCAGATTTAAACGAACGTATTTCACTGGCAATAACTGAAAGAAAACGTGCAATACAAATTGAACGACATTTTTCAAAAGTGAAACTTTTAATAATAATGAATAACTAAAGTATAGCAAACTTTCTAAATATTATCACTTCTAATGAGAGACGCTTCGTTTCTATTCAAAGGTCATTATTAGCCAAGTCATAAGGCGAATTTAACAGTTAACAGGAAAAAAGAAAAATTCTTATTCTATTGTGCATGCTGTTACTGGCATTAAACATCGTTGCTCACATATACCACAGCATCAACCATGTTATGTAAATGTTAAATTTCAACACATCCAGTATATAATCCTTTTTAACTTAAACAAAACACCTATAAATGGAATATAGAAATATTCTTTTTCTGCTAATAGTATAATCTCTGGAGTAAATGTACTTTTGATCACCAAATATATTTAGATACAAATGATCACCAAAAAAAAAGGATACTTTTTTAAGCGAAAGAATTTTTATTCTACGACCTTTTCTTCTATAAAAGATTTGAAATGCAAAAACACCATGTAAATGCGCTATTTTTTCGCAAAATTTCGATTTTTATTGAAGGATAGTAAATTAGAATAGAACCGAGATCATATTCGGAAAGAACACAGTCAGACGAATACGAAATAAAATAAAATTTTGTTTTTCGAGTGAAACTTAAGAGTTTTGGAATGGATTCTTTCGAAAACGGTCTAGGCTGTAAAGGCTCTCTCCGGTATTTTGAGAACGCGCAGCTTAGCGCAGATCTGAACTAACATAATTTTATACCAAAATGTTCCTCGCGAGGCCGTGCATTTATGATGAATGCGCAAAAGTGTGCATATTTTCCTGGACTGAGATATTGGTTGTCCAAAAATCCAGATTTCTGAGGTAAAAACCAATTATTTCACTTCAAATACAATTTTTTCCGAACAATATATACATATTCGGAATCAGCGTGAAAGACTGAATCGAATGATGTATGAGTCAAAAATTTTCTGCCAGTATATTTGGATTTTGTCAAAATCCTGCCTGTGAAAAGCCGTAGCGATGAAAATTTTTAATTGGCCTAAAAAAATGTATTTTAACAGCAGCCGAGTGGTCTATAAAAACTTTTCCAGAAGGTTTTCGTGCACTATACCTAATTCCAAAAAGGAGCTTTACAAAGTTCCAAAACGGTTTTTAAGAGGGTTTCCAGAGACAAGTTCTCCAGAAAACTCCTTAAAAATCATCTTTTAACTTTGAAAACCAGTTTTTTAGAAATAGCACACCCGAAAACCTTTAAGGAAAATTTTTTGTAGAGGTTCGGATTGCTTTCAGACCACATGTCCGCCTGTTCTAGCAAAAAATGCTCACTGTGGCACATGTCAAAATTGTATCTCAAGTTGAGAAACGAATATTTTCACAAAAATATTCGTTTCTCAACCGAGATACTCCCAACTAAGATACTTGATTAAAATATGAATTCTATCTCAGTTGAGAATATAATTCGTATCTAAGTTGAGTCCAAACCATTTTGAAACGAAACTGTTTTATTGTTTTGATAAAAGCACTAAACTTGATTATAATTGCAGCTGTTTAAACTTTCAAATTCGAGAGAATTACAATCTAAGTTAGCCATAGGTAAACATTATCAAAATACGGGACATTTTATGAAAGACACTGATTTCAGTATCCTTATATCAGACCAACATGGCTATCGGTTGCTTGTCAAGGAGTCGCTTCTTATTCGCTCTGAAACTCCAGTACTTTATGGAACAGATCAATCTGTTTCCATTGTATGTTTATCTCGGCGGCATTGAGAGAAACAAAAAGAAGGGAGATGGATGACTTGTACAATCAGAATAGTCAAGAATAATAATACCATAAAATCAAGTATTGATAATGGTGCCAAGACCTTTTTTATATGCACATATAAAAAAAAAGAATGATCTAGGTTATGCTTTGATTTGGAAAGTCTGATCTGGACCAAACTTTCAGGGAATGTTCATCTTATGATTGTACTCTTCCAGTAAAAGTTTGGCGAAGTTTAGTGAAGAAAAAATTGCAGAAATCTTCGATGAAGGTCTTCCTGTCATGGATTATGACAACAGACATCTTGGGCTATCTGATAATGTGCTTAGCTCAATATTGACTTTTTTACAAAAATTTCATATTTCCGAGAGGAAAGGGCCTGCAATTTAGCTGCAGATATGCGTATTTATACTTTATAAAATTAAAATAATCAGATCCATGTAGTAGAAAACCATCTACTGTTAGTTATGTAGTCACAAACCGTCGAAACAATCTTACCTGAACAAAATCTTCTTCTGTCATAGGATGTTAAAATAAAAGTGTTTTGAGGTTGTGCACGACAACTGATACTTTGTTAGGTATAAATCGAGTATATAACTGCAAGTAGCAGTTCTATACTCGATTTATACCTATTTATTCTCTACTGCTACTCCAACGAGGCACTGATACTTTGTTTGTACATTCATTGGAAAGATTAGTTCCAAATTGAGCGTGAGACGGGGCAAAGAAGAAAATAATGATGATTAGTCTTAACGCTTATGTTATTACACAGAAACTAGTCCGATAAAATCAGAGTTGCCGGATGGTCCGCATTTTTCGGACAAATTTCGTATTTTTGAGTTTTTTCCGCAATTTGTCCGCTGTCTGCCACTTGTCCACATTCTAAATATTTTCTGTTTTTGCTGATTTTCCCCCGAGTTAAAACTCCGTTTAAACATCGCTATTATGCGCTAAAATTCATAATTATTTCTTATCAACATCAGACTGCTTAAAATTATTTATTGTACCAAAAATTATCCCTAGTCGACACTCCCCGTGGAGTTTTGAGGGAGTCCCCAGGGACTCCTTTTGGATCTTTTGTAAACTTCATATAATTCATTATAATTAAGTGCTACGTCCTATCATTGGTACCAGTCTGGTACATGGCAGCCAACATCGGCTGACATGATGGTGATGATTCACTAGGA